TTTATTCTTCTTTTTTTTAGAGAGACCAATAAAATTGAGTTGTTAATTTTGAAAACATGCTCTAAAAAGCTGAATTGGCATTGTTTGATCTACTAAAGCAAAACAGTGAGGGTAATGGTCTTAAAATGCAAAAAGGAAAAGGATCCAGAAGTCTGAAGTTACATGTTTGGAAAGTACATAGGGTTCACTTGCGTTAGAACATACACACAGTGTTTCTGTGTGTGTGTCAGTTGTTTCCCGTAGGCAAAGGTTCAGAGCTTAAATTCCCCACACTACTACAAGTGGCCAACATGCTTGTAAATCGGTAATTAAGTACAAAGTAATCCGAGAAAGAAAAGGTAACAAGCAATATATGCTATGTATTCTAATCCTGGCACATTCAAGTGATGGAAGGCTCTGGAGTCTCATTTCAGCTGATTTATACCTCCCACTTCATTGTTATATTAGAAACCATTCACATGATTTTACTCTTAAAATCTTGTTTCTTTGTTAATGCGAATAAAAATCTTTTTGCACTGCATTTTCTTGCCCAGAACTCTAAGCATTGGAAGTGTCTATTAGTATGTTTTACATAACCTTGAAATAAACCTGTTCTAAAATGTCACTCAATGCATAAATGATCTATTAGTAGTTAAAATTGTTTTAATTTTATGATGGAAAGTAAGTATTTGGCTTGTAGGCTGAAACACGCCTATTTTTCCACCAGGATAAAATCATCCAAAAATTACAAATCAGGTTAGGCACTGCTGGTTGCAGTTTTCAAAAACGGTTTGTGAGTACTAGCATTGGCTTTGTTGATAACTACAGGCACGTTACGAGATTGCAGTGCACTATAAGAAGGAGCAATTAGGAAGGTCGCCAGTGCAGAAAAGCGCGCCTGCTGTACTAAGGGCACCATCTGCAGGAATACCTGAGCTAAAATGAAACTTACTTGTCTACTCTATGGTTATTTTCTGCAGGGCACAAACCATACTAACGACATCCTCACCATAGTAGGGGCTCGCTGTGACAAAGCTGTATGGGGAGTGCAGTGTCCAGTTGCCACCAGAGGCATCCAGCTTAAACTGTGAGCTGCTGCTGTCTCGCCTTTTACGTGTGAGTCTGCTTTGGAGCAGGAGCAAACCTGCCTCCTGACAGAAGTAGATGTCTCCACCTTGGTCGCATTATGAAGCTATTCTGTTTTGCCTGTAGGCAGGGAAATTGTCTGGTTTTACTATTCAAACTATGGCCAAGGACATAGCTTTCATGTCTTGTTCTCAGGAGGTGGGAAGTCCTTCCGTCTGAACCACAGGAGAGCCTCTACCCCAGGGCTCCTTGCCTTGAACAGTGTTAGCTTTTCTGCTTTTGTAGTGGGGTCACAGTGTTGTGTTGCAGGGGAGTGTTTCGTTCCAGCAGGACGTACACACAAGCCTCCCCTGAGCATTTCTACCAAAACCTGTCAGCTCTCTGCATCTCCCAGGAGTGAAGAAGCAGCTTGGGCTATACGCAGCAGGCATCCCTTCTCCTTGCTGGGCACATGTAAGGGGCATAGGGAGGAGGGCAAGGAGACAAGCCCACCCTTGTGACTCCCCACAGATTGGTAGGGAATGTGCGCATGCAGTTTGAAATCTCCTGCATATTCAAGCAGGATTTGAATGTCAGGCTCCTTCCCGATTATCTTACGTAATGCTAGGGCACTTGCACAAGAAGAGAAAAGCTTTTCTTTTTTGTGGCGAGGAAAGGTAGATTTTGGAAGTGGTCTCACAGGTGGGAATCCTGAGTGGAATTACTGTGTGACCTGAACTGTCTTTGAGGATGGGGATGAAGACCCAGGTTTTCTCCTAAGCATGTTCTGCTGATAAAGCAAGGGCTGCTGGCTGGTCCCTGTGAGACCTCATGGCCTGTGATTCATGAGATGAGAAATCTGACTGAATTCAGGCTGCTGTTAGCACTAGTCAGTAGGACAACTAGAAAAAGGCATTGCTGTTGAACCAGCTCAAAGCAAATCTGGGGGAGAATCAAGCCCCTGTGACCCTATGGATGGTCCACATGCTCACCACAGTTTAGCACTGGAATTATAAAGACTACAGCCCTCATTTAAGGCCAAATTTCCACTGACTGGTGGGGCAAGAAAGCAATGACTTGTTTGTTGCTAAGGCAGACCAGATGTGTTGGGCATCTCTAGGGAAAGGCTAAGCAGCATTAGCATTGTCCTGGGTAACAGTGGGTTCTCTGTCCTCCTCTGCTCATGCCCTCTAATTTGCCCTCGCCTCTTGTGGAACTTATGTGCACTCACAGAACTAAGCTGATTTCAAGGGGTTTTGATCTCTCCTTGTGTAGTGGGCAGAGAAATGAGTAAAAGGCAGATATTGCCCATTTAATAGCCTGGAGAGTCATCTCTCCTGTGCACATCCTGGAAGAGTTCGACAGAACTGACTTGACAAATGTTTCCCTATCAGAAATAATGAAAAGCAGATAGAATTTCTGACTATCAAGCTTGTAAGCACTAGCTAAAAAGTGGTTTTCACCATCTTAAAACATGACAAACTTGGAATATGTGTCTTTACTATTCTGCATGCTTCCACAAAGAATCCTCTTTGTCTCGCAAAAACGCAAGTCTGTTGCCAATTCCCAAGCTAAGTGTTAAAGAAAAAAAAAAATTCTTTTTTGGGTTGTTGATTGTTTTTCTAAGATTGAGCTCTATCACTTTAAGAGCCCAAGTGCTGTTCTGAGATGCAGTACTGTGCCCTCCTGGTTTCAGTAGGGTTGCTTCGGTCTGCCTGAGAACAATTTGATAAAGATCTAGCGGTGCTCTCTCATTTTCTTCCTTGTGATGGAGGAACAGAACCATAACATTAGTCAGCAGTTTCTGAATTTAGACCCACAATAGCAAAGATACCGAAAGACAGGAGAAATAGATGGAGGCAATTACAAACAGTCACTTGATTGATGGTTGACATTGTTAGAGCTTCAGCTGTATGTCAGGTTGTGGCCGTGCTGCATCCCCATCCCTGCCGGTGGGTGTTGCCATGGGCAACAGCGTACTGAAGCCAATAAAAGGGAGAGGAAATGAGGGGAGACTCAACCTTGGGGGAAGCTGGAGGCTACGTGCTATAAATTATGTTATACTTAGCAATATGCAATATCAAAATTCAGGAAAGGTGTGTGTACCTGCCAGCAGTACTATGGCAGTTCCTAGTATCTGCTTTTCCCATAAAGTAAGGGTAGTAAGTTTTGTATGGCTTGCTGCTTACTATCCTATCTGCCTTTATTCAGGGAAGAAAGAAGTGGTAAAATAATAGCACAAACATTTCCATTTGGTGCATGTATTCTGTGCTGTGCAGTCTGCATTTGTGGTTCAGTTGTGTACTATCAGATTGGTTTCTCCTATACACATGATCACTAGCACAGAGTGGTTTTGTTTTGTTGTGGTTTTGGGTTTTTTGTTTTTAAGGTGTAATCAACAGATTTGCTATTCCTGTTTGATTGTCAGAGAGATGTAGTCAGCTTTTCAAAGGTGGTAACGACTCACTTTCCTTAGGAAGGCAGAAACCTCTTTTTAGCATCTGGTCAGCTGGGCCAGGTCCTGTTTTCCATTAAGTTGGTGCCAGATCAAAGTAATTCCACTGAAGTAAATGGAGTTTGGCACAGGTGTAAGACTTAGCTGAATTCAGCTTTAATTTCTGCTGCCAGACAACCCTATATTTAGAATGCCATTTTTCACGGAGTACAAAGGCTTTTTTTCCTTATGAATGGGAACTTGTAAGCACTGCAACGTGACTCCTCTTGTGTCCGGTCATGCAACAGAGAAAGCACCCTTGAATCATAGATCACAGTTTTGCTACACTAGTGATCTTTGCACTAATAGAAAGAGACTGACTTTCAGGTAATACCAGCATCATCACACAGAACTAGACACGGTTGGTTTTGTGACCTGTCGTGTTTGATTAGATTTTTCTGAACACCTCTGCCACAGACATCTACATGTGAGCCTTGACTAGTGCTGGGCTAGCTGTGATAGCATCTCAAATTGTACTGAAAGAGGTAGTCACTCCAGTATGATGATATTCTTCCTCTCTATCATTTCAAAATACAAATTTCAATTGGAAATTATACTGGAAAGGCTTATCTGTGGTCCACTTTTCAATGTAATATAAATCTGAAGGACAAGGCAACAGACTTCTTTTTTTATTTGTATTGTATTTTCAGTAAAGCCCATTAATCTTTTCCTTTTTTTAAATGAATGTGTTAAAGGAGCATTTTTTTTTAAAGAAAAAAAAAAAGAAACCTCTACAGTATTTTGCCTTTGTGCAAACTTCCCTTGCTAAGAAATTTACTGCATTGTTAATATGAATTTCTCAGGGAAGCAGGGACAGGTTGGTGCTTTTAAAAGATAATAAAGTTTGTTTTTTAAATGTAGCAAAGGTAGGCAATTCTAAAGGCCCTGATCAATCACTAAGAAGCTTTGTTGTAAAAAAATACTTCTTTAGAATACAAAGCAGGCTTTTCAGAACATTCAGGCGTAAAAGAGGAGGGAAGAGTGAGAGAGGGACATCACAAAAGCAGGCATAATTGATTCATAACATGTACTGAAGAGATGCAAAACAACAATGTAATTACATACTATTCTGTTTTCCTGCTGCTCCTTGCATATGAATTGACCAGCTTGCCTCCCAGTTCTGCTCTGTTTTATTAATTTTATTAAGCTGTAAGTTCTTATATTTCAGTCTGTTGTCAGCTTTACAGATTTTTACAGCAGCAGTTGAAATGTAGTGGAGCTGAAAGAATGCTTCTTATGCTAAAGTATTCCATGTCGCTTCAGATACCAGCACAGTCTCACTGCAGGCCTTCTCTTCAGTCCCGCTAAGCCTCTCAGTAAAAGCAAACTATGCTGCTATCAAAGATAATATCCAATCAAATAAGCATGTCTGTGAAAGCATCTTGTAAAACAATGGTGGGCCTAAGCTTACCAAAACCTTTCAGACAGCTCTTACCGTAAAGCGACACTGACATTTGCAGGCTTAATTTATGTCTTTGAGAGACACAGTAAAGCTAGAGGAGAGGGAGGACGAGGATGCCGCCTGAGAAGGAAGTCTTTTTTGGTGCAGCTCCTCCCATTTGCCTCTGTTAACTGCCACGGAGTCCAGCATCGGCTTCAGTTTCACATTCAGCTTCACTAGGTTCTAGAAGAAGATTAAAGAGAAAAAATAATATTTCCATTCCTCTGATGGACAGCCCAGGGAGTAACAGGGTAAAAAGTTTAATCTGCACCATGGCACGACCTTCCTCACCCCCGCTTGTAAACTCCTGTGCAGGTAAAGCTTATTGTTCCCATGGAGGTCTCTTTATCTCACTCATTTTACCTGAGACTTTAAGCCACCAAAAATGTCAAAAATTCCCAGCAACACATAAGGTGGCAGAATGGCTGCTCAGCTACTTTAGCTTTCTTGTAATCCTTAAAGACAGTCCTTTTGAAGCATCCCCCAAGTGCCTGAGACTATCTGGTTGCTGACATCTATGAGCAGGAGGTCCATCAGTTGGATGACAAGTTGGACATAGCTGAAAGAAGCTTCAGATTCTCCCTAGTGCTAGAGTCTTAGTTCCTGTGGATGAGTAAACCACAGCCGTACTGTGCTTTCCAAAGCTGACAAAAAATCAGTTACTATGTGCTCAAAATAAGTAATAAATAAAAAAGTTTTCTTTTTAGATTGCACTAAAATCACCTTGTTTCTACGTACCCAGTCCAACACTCACAGAAGCCAGTAAGAATCTTTTATCTGGTTTCAGCTGGGTGTGAATCAGCCCCAAAACTATATAATTACTGCACACCTTTGCTAGAAGTTTATTTTACCTTCCCGTTTAGTACCATATGCCTATGTGGAAAGAACACAAGTGCTTCACTTGGTTTTGTTCCTAGATTAAAGACAGACAGAACCTCATGAACAGCAGCACCTGGATGTGAAGAAAGGGTTAAGCAGTTACCTCCCAAATGGTCGTGTAATGTGCCCTTTCAAGACAGAGGACTATTATTTTTTTTGTGGCTTTTCTGATCAACAGGAGGTGGGTTTTGCTGGGACTTGGGTATCATGTTTTCTGTTGGTAGCATGGAAACTACGTATTTGTCATTTGAAATAAAAGATTAGTGCAAGATAAAAACCAAAAGTAACGATGGAGAAGACAGTAAAAGTTGTTCCTCCAGAAGGGCAGAAAATTAGAAGGAAAAGAAAGGAAAGGGAAAGCAGGTACCTTTGCAGTTGATCATTTTCATTGTTTGTTTTAAATAGCAGGGTTAACAACAACCACTTTAAGTAGTCCCTGGAGCCCGGACACCACTAAAAAACTATTTTTTATAGCTAGTCTGCAAGCCATGGGAGCTTGGTTAGCTGCTGAAGTAAGTCTTGGTAGATTTTTAATTGAGCTATTATATGATAATTAAGGGTTAATGGCCTGATTTTAAGATGTGCTGAAAACTTGCAGTTTCATTTGACTTCGGTAGCAAATATGAATGCTCAGCACTTCTGAAAAATCATGCCATGGATAAGAAGCTGCTTTGTACGGAACTTGAAGCAAATCTGCTTGAAATTATTTCCTTGAAATATGGCACAGAGTGGGTAGATAATTTTGCAACCTTGGGCCTGGAGTAAGGGGCAGAATTTACTACAGTCTCTGCCACGAATAGTATTGCTCGCTGGTGACAGTCATTCGTTTGATAGAATGGATGTAGATTTGTAACATTCCCATCACTGTGCCTTAGGGCTCCCCATTTTTAGCTCTTTATTTCAGACCATTGTGTATTCCTCAAACCTGATCTGTTGTTCAAAACGGGAGCAGTAATACGTTATAAAAACCTGAAAATACTTGAAAAACTGCTATTATCATTAGCACAGGCTTTACCACTGCCAACTAAGTGTCTAGAGATCACACATTAGATACTTGGCTCTCAGAAGCAACATATCAGATCCTTTCTGTGCAAAGCCAGTATCCATCCACTGGCAGTTAAGCTTGCTGGTATTTCTTAAATCTTGAAAACGTTTTCATGAAATATTTTTCCAAGTATACATTTAAGATTAAAAAATAAATGAATAACAATTAAAAATCCATGTTTAAATCAGTGTTTTAAAATCAGTGTATTTCAAATGCCTTTAAGCACAAAGATGGCATTCTGTCAGCCTCAGCATACATAAGCACAAAATGCAGTACAGGCATAAATGCTATACCAGTAACCTGCTACAGGCAACACAGAGGAGAAGCAGCTCTCTGGGACAGTGGCCTCTGTGTGTCTCAGTGTGGCCGTGCTGTTTGTGTCCTTTCTGTGCTGTTTTTTTGCCAAGGCTGACCACAAGACCACAGTGTTTTCAATCCTAGTGCCAGGGAGCAAATGCAGAGGTCTGGGCATGACCTACTGCTGTGCTTGTCCCTCCAGGCCTAGGCATCTGCCACACTCTTATGGTAGGAGAGAGCCATCTCACATACAATGCTGGAAGGCTTGTGGGTGCTTGAGCTCGTTAGATCAATTAGCTTTGCATCCACTACAGCAGAGACCAGAAGCCCAAATAGATTAGGAATGGATCCAAGAAGCTACCTCATAGTTCTACAGTAATCACTCTATCTTGTGAGCTGTAAACACATTTTAAATCCAGAAGTAAATACATCTATTTCTTAGAGATACATAGCTAAGTGGTTATTACAGAGTCTAATAACCCAGGTGCAGTAGAGGTTATCAGGTAAATAACAAGAATGGCTAACTAATAACATAAACTTTGATTAAATAAATTAAAAGGAGTATTTAAGAAAGAATAAACCATGTCTTAGACATTCATTTTTACCATAGCACAAGCAATTAATTCTGTGAAGTACAAAATATACAGTGTAATTTAAAGAAACTTTATTTTGTTTCACATTAATTTATATTAGGGATACTTGACACTGCAGATTTTGCACTTAGTCTATAAAATGTCTTTATTCAGACATTGATTTGATGTTTAAGCCACTGCTTCTTTATTTAGTATCCTTTCACTTTGGGCCTCTTTAATTCAGATCTGATCTTTTAATTAAACCAACTACTATAATTCCTGTGGAAATTAGCTTTTATTTTATTTTTTCCAGCTACCAAAGCATTTCAGTAGGACTTTTCTGATACAAAGTACACAAATTGGATTTTATTTCTGCTTGAGATGTAATTAAAACCTCATTTGATTACTATATATCTGGCCCTGTTTTAATTATTAAACTCCAGTAATCAATTTTCTTTTATGAAGCTTCTGGGAAATTATCTCAAAAGCAACACATTTCTCCCTTCTGGCAGGCTCTTGACCATTTACTGAATTACATTCATAGCACCTGTTCCTGATCCGGATTAAACCACCAATTTATTCCCAAAGCTGTTTAAGTTTATTTGGCTGTAGCCTAGTCAGGGTTTTCTACCTCCTGGCTGCACTTTTTACTTTCCATTTTATTGCATGAGAACCCCTTGATGTACAGCTCCTCCATGCCACTATATTTGATGCGTGCCTCTCAGGAACAGCTTTGCTAGTGATCTGTCAAATTTGGTATCCAGCTTCTTAATGCCCGATTTATTACTTGCTTTAATAGGAAGAAGCTTGGTCCTCAGCAGCTGTCTGAGATGGGATACCACCACATAAACCCATAGCTCCAGAAGTGCCCTTTTGACTTGTCCCCCCTTGGTGCAGGAGGCAGGCTGTGAGCTGGCAGGCAGCAGCCATGCAGTGCAGGGGGGTGAGGGAACCCCTGCCTGGGGAGTTCCTGTCTCTCCACTTGTGACCTCCATGCCCACTTGCAGTCCTTCCACTGTAACGCCGCTGCCTTGCTAGGTACATGATGGGAGACCTTTCCCGTTTTATCCCCTCTACTGTAAAAGCTGTTCCTAACAGCAGAGTGACAAAGTGTGCTGGAAGAGCAGTCATGCTGGCGTCTGTGCACTCCAGCGTTAGGAAAAGCCAGGTAGGTTTGCAGTTCCCTTCTGCATCCATACATTACCTCAGATATGTGACTAAGCTGTTTCTCAGAAAGTTACTGTATAGTGCTTTTTCTTTCCACCTTCAATTATTTAGGTGTCTTTTCTGACTACATACTACTCTGCCTACAGCATACTTTCACAAGATATGATGAAAGGTCCTTTTACATACAAACTCCTCCAGCACAATAAAAGGTTAAAGGTACTTGAGCACTACATTGTATGCACCTGGGAGAGGGGCAGGGCACCTGAAGGAAGAATTCAAAAAGGGGAGAGTATGAGATACTCAGAGGAAGCTACTTATGGGACAAGGTAAGAAAAGAGCATGGGATACTCAGAGGAAGCTGTTTATGGGAGAAGGTAAGAAGAGAGCGGTTTTTTTTGGATATATTTTGCTAGATAAAGAATGCCAAAATAATATAAGAAGAAATGAACTCATCAGGGAGAGGGTGATGGGTAACAGCAGCATTTTTTTTTGCTGCTCTAACTCCTGGGTTAAAGGGTGGTAGTGGGGGAGAGGACTCCATCTGCTACATAACCTTCATCTCTAGAAAAAGGTGCTTGTTGAAACAGCCAAGATGCAACATAGATATGGCCAGAGTCTAAACTATTGTTCAGGCAAATACAAAACATTCTGTTATGTTCTAAGACTAATACAAAATACTTTCAAAGAGGAGCCCTAGCTTACGAACACAACAGGACCTCCAGAGTATATACTTATCTCTCTCCCATTGCCCCAGAGGTTCTCATCCAAATATTGACCAATTCTGACCTTGCTTAACTTACGAGCTTTGACAAGATTACAGCTCACGGAAGTGTGGTTGTGGTTCTAATATTTGTAAAGTGAGTTCATGGAATAAGACCATATAAATTCATTTTTATGACTGAGCACATATAAAAAAGTTATAGGTCTCAATGTTCACTCTACTTTGGAACCCAGTGGTTTCTAATGAATCACTTTTATTATGTAGGCAGTTTCTGAGTTGGAAGGGAGGACTAGTGACCGAGAAGCCATAGGGATAAATTCAGACCTGGTGTAAGCATATGAAGCATTGCTGAAGTCAAGAGAGTCGTGACCAGTTACAGCAAAGCTGAATTGGACTCCTGAGTTTTGCTGAAGTGGCTTTCATGTGAGAATACATAGGCCAAAGGTGAGCCATCTATCTGAAAGTCCTTGAACTTCAGATTAGTTCAGATAGAAGGGAACCT